GCGGGCCCAGGGCCCAGGCGCCTCTGCCAGCCGAGGCCCAGCCGGCGGCGGAAGGGCCGGAGCGAGCGCCCGTGAGGCTGCCTGAGCGCGGGGCCGGAGGCAGGAGCGCAGTCTCCGCGCCTTCGTAATCCGTCACGGTCTTGAGGTTTTCCCCTCGAGCTCTGTAAAGGTCTGCGTACACAGCGTCCCGTGGCAAGGAGGTGTGTGGTTTAAGTTAGATGGTGTTCTGGGCAATAACTTCCTTTGTCTTTTCATCCTGTCCTTTTCTAACTTACTCCACCATTCTCTAGTTTCCTACTGGATGAGACTGCAAAAGTTGCTGCAGTAGGTCTCCGTTCCGTGCTTAAATGTATGCTGGTGGCCTTAAATGTATGCTGGTGGCCTTGTAGCTGTGGTGGCCAGAGGACAAAAGCGGGGCATCTAAACAGAGACGTTTTTCCTGCAGTGATCATAGCTGCTCAGATTAAAAATTAGACAAGTTTCTGTCTTTCTCTTTTTCCTAGGAGGTAATGACTTCTTAATCTCTCTTCCTCTCTGACATCCCCTCTACTCCACAGGTACAAACTGTCTTTTCTCTTAGTTGTTTAAGTAGACTTGAAGGAATTTTCCTTGAGTTCTGTTTAGCTCTGATATCTACTGCCTCGATTTCAAACCTGAAGTGTGTTTTGTGCCTGAAAACTTGCCTGTCCTCAGAAATACCTTGGAAATATGTCTTCCAGGCATGTCCTTAAAAGTATGTGGGTCACCAACAGATGTTCTGTCACTATTCCAAAATGTGATTAACAAATATGAATAGAGCACTGCTGTGTTCTGATTCTGTAGTACCTGCATAGTAACACTGTGTAGTCTGTTAATATCTCATCTTCTTAAACAGGATAAAACAAAAAAACCCCACCCTCTACTCAAAGCCTGTTTCTGAGTAGGATTCTTTTTCTATCAAAAAAAGTCAGTGCAAACTTTAACTGACCTAAGAATTCACATTGCATACGTTAAAACTCCCAGACAATGACTCTGGGACTAGTGATAGATGAAAAATATTGAATGTTATCCATGTCACAAAAAGGTTGGAACTTAATGACTTGGTATGAGTTCTTGTTACTTCGTTTGGGAGCAAATACATAGAGAGAAATACTTTTCTATAATTTAAAAAGAAAAAAAAAAATCTCCGCTTTGCTACTAAATTCTGTGAGCTGCATAGATCACTCACTGTTAGACAATCTCATTTCCTTTTCTCCCATTTCAAAATCTTATGTGTATAGCTGCAGTTTTACCATTTTCAGTTTCAATAGCTGCTCTGTTCTTGCTTCTTTTCAGCTTAACTATGGCTTCTGACACAGTTTTCTTTCAGGAAGAAAGGAAAATCTTATCCTACAGATAATTTCATGTGGCTTTGAGATCTTATTTTGTATTCAATTTGTGAAACCCTCATTCATGATATATTTATATAAAAGATATATTTTGATCCCAAAACTTTCTGTAAGCAGAATTTTGCAAATGGAGAAAATGTTTATTGTTTACCATTATCATTAGAGCATCCAGCCTCAATAGTTTACTAACTTGCTGGTAGAATTGACTGTGAAACAGAGCAACAACACTGACTGCATAAGCTTTTGCTCCTCTTTGGAGTGATTTTTGTTAAATACAGTTGTATACTTCTGTTTTCCAGAGCTGTGTCAGTAGTTCTGCAGGGTCTTAGCTGTGCCTCTGCGACTTACTCAGCTGGAAGAAGTTAGAACATTCATGTTGAGTCACCTTCCATATGATCAAAGTTGAACTTGTTCTTGTTAGCTGGTTTGGTGGTTTTTTTTCCGATGTATCTTGTGGTCAGTCATAACATGACACCTAATCAGCTGTTTCTCTCCTTCCTTTTTGCAGTGTTATCAACACAATGCTGGTGACATGTGCTGTTTGCTGCTACCTGTTGTAAGTATAAATAATGTTTTGCCTCTTAATCAAGGTGCAGTTCTGATGTAATTGAAAGTTCCTTTTTTATATCCTCAAAACATTTAGGAAGAAGCTTATCAAATGTGTCACAGAGATTTAGACGCATGGTATTCTTTGACAGCTCTTAGAATTCTTAGTTCTAAAGACCTTCAACATGCTGAAGAAAACATTTTCCTGTTGGAAGATACTGAATTAAAACAAAACCGAATTCTTCTTGTTGTCCTCTGACACATAACTGTTGAATAGTGCTCTGCGTTGACTTGATGTCATTCCTTTACAGTTCACCAGCTTATTCTCTCACAAGTATAATGGCAGTTTCTCAATTCTATAATTTTTCTGATTCACAGCAATGAAATTACTTTTTGCCTTTTTCATTCTTTATACCTTACATTTATTTCTAAGGTGATACCAATTTAAACCTACTGATGACTGTTGCTTTACTTAGCTTGGTTGAATATATTCTTGAAATCTGGTAGAGCAGTGGGTGGAACAACTTACACATAGGGTTTTTTATATATCAAAGCATCACAAAAAATATTTGTCATATATTAAGACTGTTTATATTTAAATGCAAAGTATATTTTGAGGCTGCCTCTTTTCTGTAAGAGAATTAGTAGAAAACCAAAATGACTTGTTGAGGAACTCGCCATATCATGTTTGTTTTTTGTCAGGAGGTAAGCCAGCTGTAGCCTGCAAGAGAAAGCATGGGTGGGGTTCTTTGTTTTGTTTTGGTTTTTTTTTAAGATTAGAGACTGATCTTGTAGAAGAAAGTGCTGTGCAGAAATAACTGAAAGAATTTGTTATGTAGAGTAAATTGGTAAAAGTTGGGTTAGATCTTTAGGGTTAACTTGTAATAAAATCATTATTCAGAGTTCCACTTGATCCTGAATAGTATTTGTACTGTCCTGAGGTATTTAGGCATCATTTACACTGCTCTAAAAAGCTTAACACGAATATTTAGAGAAATAGACCTCTAATCTCAAGATTCATTCTTAAGAGCTGTCAGCCAAAAGCCATATTGTCAGTGTCAGCGTATTCCAGGAGAGGCCTCTTTGGTTCCATGGTGGGTTGGCCTGTGGCACAGGTTTACGCGGGTTTGATTTAGTTTAAGAATGTGATATTCAGGTTTTATACAGGTGAGACCTTCTTTTTTTTTTTTATTATTGTTACTATTCTTCAGTGTATTTGACATGTGAAGTCTTAAAAAATCATTCTTCTGGATAGTTGTGAAAGTACAGCAACCTTGGTTCTGTGTTTTGTATCTGTGAGAGTTTTTTTAAAATTAAAGTTTTGCTGAGCAGATGTAGGAACTTGAGAACAAGATTTGTAGTGCCAGCAACCTGAATTTGGGGTTGAAATTTGGGAATTGCAGTGCTATGAAGGCCTCCTTCCCTGCCTATGAAGTTTGTAGCAGCCCAGTTTCATCTTAGGTCCCAAGTGCTTGGCTAAGAAAGGGCAACTGGATGCTCATTTTTACTAGGTTACTGTGTTTAGGTTACAGTAAGTTGGGGTTTTGCGGGGGGGAAGGTTTGGGGGTTTGTTTTGGTTTTGTTTGAAGTTCTCACTTAAGTTCTTCCTACTCTGTATTTTAACAAATGATGTCCTTCTCTTCTAAAATCCTGGAAGCTTAGGGTTTATTTTCTTTATTTTTTGAAGGACAGTTTCCTTGAAGTTGAGGCCACGTGGTATCTGTACAATCCTCTGGATTATAATGCGGAATGTATTTGTTGTAGAATTTCTTAACTGTGACCGAATGCTGTGAACTCTTCAAATGTATGATGGTATTTCACTTGTAAGTTTAGTGATTGTTGTGCTGAAACCGACCTATTATAAATCTAGTGTCATTAACATGATTTATCATCTGTTCTTGCATGTCCAGTGAGGGGGATCTTTCACAGTCTTGTGGGCTCTAACTTGTTTTCTGTATTCCCTTTGGCTTTCTCCAATTACACCTTGAAAAAAGAGAAGCAACAAAACCTTAATATGTTTTTAACCATCGGTAGTTTACCCAACCACAGAAATTACATACATAGTGTCTGCTTGCCAGAATACAACAAAAAGCAGATTTTTCTCCTCATGTTCCAAGGAAGAACTTGCTTACTCACACAGTCTTCTCCCACCCTCCCCCCTGCAAATTCTGTTTAAAATCATTGAACAGCCCTGGTTGGAAAGGACATCAAAAGATCATCTGGTCCAACCTTTCTTTCTTCTGCTTTGTTCAAATGTATGTAAACTTGTTCTTCCCAGTCTCTCTTCTTTTTTTGGGGAGGCATTGAAAAAAATTTCAGACCTTAATTTTGGTTACTAAAGAAAGAGACTAATTTTTCGTGTCAGTCTTGAAGGAAGCCCGAAAGAATGGGTTCTGAGGATTCATCGTTGGATATGTTAGGGTTAAAATAACTTGTGTTGTCCCAGGTATGGTCTCTTCTGTATTTGCGTGTCCTTAGTAGGAGGCTAGTACTGTTACCTGCTTCTTTGTAGCGTTGTTTAGAACTCTGCCAGACCTTCTTTCATAGTCTTTGAGTTACCTTTCCAGTTGAAAATAGGGAAAAAACAATTTTCTGTCTTCATTAAACACCATATGATTGACAAATTGATTTGCATCAAACTGAATTTGTGTTAACTAAATTTGAAGTGAATCAAATTTCAACCTAGAGCTGTTTCTTCTGTGTTTAGATTTAACAGTGATCATTTTGAATAACAATATTGATCACGTGGTTTTAATTTGCTAGGGAACATTTTTGTATAGGTAAGTGCATAATTTGTGTACAGATATTGTACCCAGCAGCCTTTTGAAGGAGAATACTGGTAAAATATGCGGCCAAGTATAAGGAGTTACTGCTGCAGAAATTATAGGTTACACCATGTTGTAAGGTACTGTCAAAGTCTAAATCTGTTTTGCTGTTTACAAAGCAGTTCCTGAAACAGTACCATGATATTCTACTAGCAGAGGACAGTGTGCTTGAGAAATGGTATGATTTGCTACTGATTCTAAAGGGATTAAAATATAGCTGCCCAAATTGACATTTAAACAGACATAGCAGGACCTTAATTTGTAATATGCAGCATAGACAGATGGCAGTTATGGTAGAAAGACCTTTTAAAAAATCTTTCTGGTGGAACATAAGGGACTTTAATTTTCTTGTCTGAGCTGGGTAATTAACTGTTGTTAAGTGGTATCTGGTAGAATTTAAGGACCTGTGGGTGGCTCGAATGCCATACCTGATTTTAGCAACTCTGGAACGTTACACGTTGGATACAGAGGCTTGCTTTGTTTTACTTTGAATGCCGTGTTTTGTTTTGCGTTGTCATGATAGATTATTGTATAAGGAAGCATCCCTTAAGCAAAATGGGGGGGGAGATGGAAAAGCTTTTATCTTGAATGCAAGGGAGTTGTAGAGTTCAGTGCCTAACTACTGCTTTAAATTATTAGGCCCTAGCAGAGCAGGGAGGAGGAATGTACTATTGACCTGTAATGCCACTATGGCTTGGAGATTGGGTATCCAGCATGGTCCCAACAAATAGCTTTTGAAAACTGCACAGTACTTGCCTAAAGCATGGTTATACAGCTGGGACGTGTCAATATTTCGAATGTGCTTCCAGCTCATTTAATTCACAGCCATGCTGGGTCTGAACTTAAGCAGCATAGAGAGGTGAGATATTTGTGCACAGAGTTCCTTCCTTCTGTACAGTGAGAAAGAGAATAATGTGCTTTCACAGGCTTTTAGTGTTCCTACCCTCCTCCCACTTCTGTTAGTTCAGGATGCTAAAGGCAGATGGTACAGTGCTCTGGCACCCCTTCTATCCATCTTTTGTATCTGAAAATTAACCCTTGCAAAATAAATTCTGTAATATTTTTAAAAGCTAATTTGCTTTTCTCCCAAGTAAATGTAACAATGATTAATGTGGTTTCAAAATACATTGTTGTCATCGCTTTGGATAGCAAAGTAGAAACATGTCAACCTACAGGTTATTGGCTCTTCCTGGTGGTGTCTTGCTGATGTTTTAATTGCTTTGTAGAGCCTGCTACGTGTTCCAAGGCTTGCACGACTAATAGACTGCTGCAGGCCGAGCACATCACTTCAAGTAGAGTCCTACTTTGTGCAAAACTGAAAGTGGTGTGGAAAATAAATATTTGTAAATTTTAAGAGGATTGATGTGTTTTCTTTAAGTCTGGCCCACCTCTTTTGCCCGTGGCTGTTCCTAGCCATTTTACAGCGGACCTGCACTTCATTTGCTGGTCAAAGCATCAAGGTTTGTGTGGAATTTTCCATGACTGCCTAAGCACTCTGATACATTTGTAGCAGCTCCCATTACAAAGCTGCTCTGCTTTTTCTCCTCCTTACAAAGCATTCTAGAAATAGCAGACAGATGAGCCAGTGTGTTCACTAAATGTGTTTATGTAGTTAGTATTTAACATAGATTTAAATCCACAGAAGCATCCATTGCTTTTTCTGAATATTGTAATATTTACAAAGCAAATATATCTTTTAACAGTGGAATATTTATTCCTGTTAAGCTTTCCTGGATAATTTCCACAAACTACATTCCTCTTGTTCCCAGTTCTGGCTATGTCTTCTGCAGCGTTAGTTTGTGAGCTGCTCTGATGACAAGTGGCTGCTGTTGCTGATCATCTGGGGTTTGTTGTCACGGTGGTTTTGCTGCTGTGAGGTTTTTAATTTTGTGTGTATTCCTGTAGCATTGTACCCTTTTGCTTCAGGTCTCTGTTTATTGATCTCTGTGCCAGGCTTAATTTCACTTTTGTTCAACCTCTGATGAAAAATATACCATGTCTGCAAGGGTAGGTTGTCGTGCACTGAAAATAAGAGCAAATGAGAGAGAGGATGTTTCTTAGAGGTTTTAATTTAAAGGATGCTTCCAAGGCACTGACAAAAGGTCTCTCTCTCTTATGTTTCTGTCTCCTGAGCCCACAAATACCTGAGTTTCATATATCTCAAAACATTTACCTGTCAAAGGAAAAGTGAGAGGGAAATGCTGTCAGGTGGGTTTGTGTTGCTTTAAATTGGACAGGACGATTTATTGTTTCAGTTGTGGACTGATTCGATACCAGATCTTAATTGCTGGTATCTGGTCTTTGTGTATGAGCTTGAGTAAAGTTTTCATTTGATACTAGACTTTCCTGAAAATAGTCTCCTCTGATAGTATTTGTGCTTTGGACAAGCCTTCCCATTATCATAAGCTTTGTAATTTGGCTGATGCTCTCTCTTTTGGGTTGGGGGGGTTGTCTTGCAGTTGGCTGATTGCGATTCTGGCTCAACTCAACCCTCTCTTTGGGCCGCAGTTAAGCAATGAAACAATCTGGTATCTTAAATATGACTGGCCTTAAGGATGTCTGTCCTCTGCTGCAATTTATTGACTAGGTGAGTATGATCAGATTTACTAATATATTTGGTATGTTAAAGCTTCAGGAGAAATTCAACAGTAGTGTAAGCAGTGTGTTTGGAATTGCTAGCTGTTTTGCTGGAGAAATCTATCTTTCTATAGGCTGCAACAAAACATGTTTTGGATGTTAATCTTGACTGGATACCATGGAAAGCTTGGACTGAATTCTTGTACAGTTATTTTTCTCTGCTATCATGTCATGTGGTGCTGGTTTCAGTAAGCAGCGGTTTGTAAGAAGAACAGTACATTTCTTCTTCCCACAAAAAAAAATATAATTGGGCTGGGGTGTCTTTTAATAGCTAGTGTAAGTGGATTTCCTAATCTTTAACAATTGTTAAACCTCTCCAATCCTACTACCATTTTGTCCAAGACCTGTCCTGATTTCCAAGGAAATGTGCAGTTGCCCCCATTCATCTGGGAAGTCAGAGTCAGAACTGCAATTAGAATGGTTCTTTCTCTCCTGTCAATGTATAGCACTAACACTGAGCTTGCAGATTAATGTGTTTGGTTTTTTTTTTTCAATGATAGCTTGTGTTCAACTTTAATCATAGATGAACCTGGTGGTTGCTGTCTGGGTAGTGCTACTGGAATGCTGTTGTTGCGGTTCTTGGGTATGCTTTCTGACATGACCAGCAAAAATACAAAGTCTTGTACTAAAAGTACGATGATGACTTCAGGCTTCTCTAGAATGGCAGCATTTGGAGTTGAAGGTTCAAATGAAGGATAGCTGCGGAAAGAAGTAGCCGTGATTTTAGTTTTAGTGCTGGTAATTGAATCATTAGATATGCTTAGTTTTTTACCTTTTTAGTTCTTGTTATTTTAGGTTTAACTGCCTACCCCCTTCCTGTTCTTACTTTAACTTCTGTTTACAGAAGTCCAATAGCAGCAGACAGATGACAGTTGATGTTATAGCTCAGTTAAATGCTGTCTGTAAAGCATCCTGAACATTTACCCTGAAGCAAAGCTCCACTGCCTCAAAGTAGGGTTCGTCTGAACTGTAGTGTTGTCAGACTGTGGTGTATGTGTCTGTAGCTTCTCTTTTAAGCAGTAAGCAGAAGCTAAAGGTAGACTTGGCCCTGCTTCAAGTAGAGGCCTGTAATTAGCTAAGTCAGTCAAGCTGAATTTCCTGTATGCATTTTCACTGCTCATGTGTTAACGCGTAATTAGTTAGCTAAAACAGAGACCAGTGTATTCTGGTAATGGGCATACAGATCCCTGAATCCCATAGGATAATTCAGTTTCCTGGGATGTGAAAAGGAAATGTAGTTATCTGGGCAAGTGGATGCCTTGGATATAAAAATTGGGCTTCCTTCTGACTGTGGTCTGTGTGTTGCAACCAGCAAGGACGAACTGGAGATGAGATACAACTCTTGGACTCTAGGTGCCTGCTAAAAGAATTGAGGCTTTCCCCCTCCTTTTCAGTGAAGGATTTTCCAGAGAACGGGAGGTAAATTCGTACCAAGGAAGAGGGAACTAATGCATTCTAGGATCACAAGAAGGTTTATGTGAGGAGCTGTCACTTTTAAATGGATGGAGAATTTGAGACCTATATAGTGCACACTGTTGTGTTATATGAAGCAGTTTGTTTTAACTTTTGATATATCTGATTTCATTGGCTTATTTTTAGAATAAAATGAAGGTTCTTGTATTTGTGAAAAAGAATGCTTTAAAAAAGTAAAAACGTATAATAATCCTCAAATATTATAGTTAAATATTATGTTCTTTCTTGCTGGAAGTGTGCTATTACAGGACATGCTATTCTCCCCAGTCTTGTTTGAATTACTCTTGCAGTTTGAGCGAGCTGAGTGGCAAGGACGTGGCTACCTTGATCAGGCTGCAGTGTCCTGTCTTTTGCTGTTGAGCCTTCTCTTGAGTTTCTCACTAGACAGGAGCTGTGAATTAGATTCCATCTGAAAGAGCTGGGATATATCTCTGACACTGCATAGAATCCCATAAATATAGCTACCATTTCTTGTTTGACCAGTTATTTTTGACTGTTAAGATGTGCTTTTACAGCACTCAAGGTGCATGTATGCCTCCCATTTCTTTTTCAGTTGAGGTTTGGATGGATTCCTACAGACAATGCAAAGAGTTAAAGAGAATGAAATACTAACTTCCAGAGTGGAGAGATCTTAACTAACAATGAGGATAGTCTAAGCAAACCCATTTTACTTGACCAACGGAGCAGGCTGAAAACGCACCCAAAAGTCTACTGCATTCTAGTGAGGAGCTTCTACAGATGCTGACTTGATTGATCGATGCCAAATTACAGAAGTTTGGTCTGTCTTTTCCGTCAGTACCCCTGCAATTCAATGATGATGATGTATCAGATGACTTTTCTATATAATCAAGTTAATGGCTTGGGTGGCAATATGTAAGAACATGCAAAGTTCTGTAGCTGTGGTACATCTGGGCTGTAGCGCCTCTCAAGCAATGTGATCTAATGCTGCCTTTTCTCCTTAACTGCCTCAATTTACAGTCTGTGTTCTCAGACCAGGATCTTTCTTCATGCAAGGGCAAGAATGACTATCACCAGATGACTGGATGCTGTTACAGCACTGAAAACTTTCTAGTAAAATAGTTATTGTACGGGCTTGTAATGTAACTAGAACTACTTGCAGTAACTTCAGAAATGAAACCACTAAGAAAGCAAAGAAAGTAGAGATTATTCTTGAACCTCCATATAGATGAACTGTCTACAGTTCTTGACCATTTCTCAGTGCATTTGTGGAATGGAAGTAGTTGTGGTTATCGACCAGGTCTTCAATTAGTAAATTGTCTCCATGAAAAGGAATAATTAAGTTGCCTCTTGCTTTGCAGGTAAAGAAGAGATTTCCTCCAGATGAAAAACTCCACTGACCCAAAGATGCCCTTAACATAGTTGGCTGGATACCAAGCCTGCATTAATGCCTTAACCTTTCTATTGAGCTTCAAATGGCTTGTTGAAAGCCCTGTATTTTTTCCTACTGTACTGTTTAACGGTGTGCCTAATGCAATTTATACTCCTCTTCGGTACTGTAAATTTTTGTCTGTGAACTTCAGATGTGATGAAAATTTCTAAAGTTTTTATGGGTCAAAGTCAGCTTTCCTGTTCATTTTAACTCACCCTGTAGGAACACTGTATATATAGGTTGTCGTTGCTGTGCTTTCACCCCTGTTCTGTTTGACTGCACTTGGAAAAAAAATGTGTGCAATGAAACTGTATGAGGAGAGGAGAAACAGTGGTGCCACATGCTGATGGCATTTCTTTTTTTTAAATTAGTTGTATTCTTGGGAAATTTGGTCTTAAATTTCTCGTGCCTGGAAATAAAATGAATCCTCTGCTTTATACAGAACTCTCTTGTGCCATGTTTAACTATACTGTTATGATGTGCTTTTCTGTGGTTTTAAACAGACAACAGTTGGCCAGAGTTGAGCAAACTTAGATGATGTGGGTAAACTCTAATAAAGTCATAGAGTGTGATGAGGAGAGTGTGCTTGCTGCCTGTATCAAGACCTCTTGGGTAGTTCTAAAATAGTATTAAATTTGCAATCTAAAATTGCTGAAAAGTCTGCAGAAAGAAGCGAATGCTTAGCGCGAGAGCCTCTTCTCCATGAACTTCCCACTGTCTGATACTAGGCAACTAAGTAGCAGATATAACGTGACTAGTTTGAATGAAGCATAAATAGTAATTTTGGTAGAAGATTGATTTAATCCCTAGCCTTTTTGAGGGATGCATATGGTAACAAGCAATTTGAATTGAACAGAAAATATAGCAATTGTTTTATACTGACTTGATGCTTGCACCTGGAATTGCAGACCTGATAAATCACATGATAATGCAGGGCAGAGATGAAAGATTGCCGAGGCTCCTCGATGTCAGCTGAGCCCGTGGGGTTGGAAATGAATCTAGAAAGTAATTTGCTAAGGAATAGCTTCAAAGAATATAAATACTGCTGCATGCATAGGAGTCTTCGTGTATACTGTCTTATCTCCTTAAATCATCTCCAGATAAGTTGCAGTTGCTCCTCACTGTGTGTTGTTGTTATGCACAAGGACATAATGGAGTGGTTCTTTGGTTTTTTTTCTTTTTCCTTTTGGAAGGCAGAAGGAAACTTGTTAACACGTTCAATGGGATAGTACTCGTTAATATACAGGAAATTCTGAGGTCCTGATAAAATGCTGTAGCTTGCGTTGATGGAAAACTGGACAGCGTGAATTGCAAAACAAACAAGAATGCGTCCACTATTACTAGTAAGCGTTGGGACTGTTGGGACTGGAATACTGGATTTTTTTCAAGTTACCTACTGCTGAGAGCTGTATTGTAACACGCGAGAAGTTGTATACTGTAATGCTATAGTCTGTGGCAAATAATTCGTAGGAAAATTGGAAGCCAAGTGATCTTTTTTTATAAGGTTTTTTTAAAGTGTGTGTGGAGGGTAAGATACATTGACATACGGGGAGGGGAGGAAAAATGCTTCAAGACTCCGTTGACAGTTTTGAATATGTAACAGTTTCTTAAAATATTGATCTGCCTGTCATACTTACCCTAAAGTGAGACGTCAAAAAAGAAAACGTCCAGTGTCACACAGTGGTATTAGTATATTGGTATTGTTACTTTCTTTAACAAGCTTTCTGTTCTAGGTTCTAAGCTCTCGCTCACTGTAGAAGACGCAGGAGAAGTAAAACAGAGTTCACGTGGCGTATTTCACTGCTGATGAATTTAATGTAAAGAGCTATTCAGAGTCTGTACAAACAACCCATAGTTCAATTTTTATTTACGTTCTTTCCAGATAAAGACATTTCCCTTTACCTGAATGGTTGATAATTTCTCTGAAGCAGAGACCAGGTAGCAGCATGGTTGAAGATGTTGAAGAAATAATGTTTTGTTTATGTTCTGCTGAACGTTGTGTGACCTACCATCTGCATCGTGATTGTGGAATGGACTGCTCCATGGGTGCCGG